ACGCGTATATATAAAAAAGATACAGTCCGTCGATAATTAGGTAAGTACGAGCGGCGCCGAGAACAAAGCGACACGATGATTCCGACGTGATGTACGAGCGAAAGGATACACGCCAGGCGTTATCGGGACGCACACACTTGCGAAGAATATTAAACGCCAGTTTATACGCCGTAAATAATGACAAAATACGTACCTATAAAACCGGAACGATCTCTTCAGACTTGCGCAAATTGCAAGAGTCGCGACGATCGTAATCGTTTCAACGGCGTGTGAACGCGAATATAAATGCGGTCTCATTGATGGCGATTTCGCCGACTATGTGTATAAGCACAGAGAGAGAGAGAGCTTTGACACACCGGATGCACCGACAACCATCAATGCGTGCATTTCGTCTCGATCAATTCGAGATACAATTATCGACAATTCTGATTAATCTCTCCTCGAATTAAGATTTTGCACGCAATAGATATGTATCGAGTGTAGGAAAAAAATTAGTTACCATAATTAAATTTTGGGTATCTTCTATATATTACACTTTATATTATTTATCATCATACTTCAATTTTAATTATAGCTACAACAATTAATATTTTCAAGTTCCAATTTACTAGGAAAAATTCGGCGTTAAATTATAACTGAAATTTAGACATGGCAATTAAAATTCAGGGGTAATATAAGGCCACCTAAAATTTAGCTAATACTTTTTCCAATACGCAAATATGGTGGTTGCTATTGAATGATTGGAAACTCGACAAAGCTGCAAGCATCTCCGCGTCGCTGTATATAAACGCGCGCAATCTCGTTGCGCGATTCTCGTGACTAATCTCCATCTAATAGATCGCGGCGGACTTTAATGTCCGCGACACGTATCGAATCGGTGTTCCTCGCACTGACGGACAGTAAAATGGCCTCCACCGCGAGCCCCCGTCGAAGCTTACACGCACGCAGGCACGACGCCTTGGGGCACGCGATGCCATACCGCGGTAATGAACGGACACACGCGTGTATGTGTGTGTGTGTGATGCGTGCGTGCACGCGACGCACGCAACGAGTCGCGCGCGCGAGAAGCGACGATCTAATATCCTGGCCGCGATACTATTCCGTGCGTCGATGCATTATATGCGCGCGTGTTGCGGCTTGCGGACGACCGCGTGTCCTATTTGCACACGCTGCGTGAATATATGCACATATGTATACTATACGGCGTTTCTAAAACTATGTCAGACATTTTAGAGGTGTATTCTAGGAGTCAAAATAAGAAAGAGTTCCTATAGACATGGATCCAAAAATGTTCTCCTTCCGAGTTATAATCCGTTTTAAGATGGGTGAAAAATCGAAAAATATATTGTAGCTTTCAGAAATTTTTTCAGATCGAGAAACTAACTCAGAGGAAAAGCATTTTTAGACTCATGTTTATAGAAACTTTCTCTCTTATTTTGACCCCCTAGAATACACCCTTACAATATCTGACATAAGTATAGTTTCAGAAATACTACCTAGTATATGCATAAGCCGCGTTACAAGAGAATCGCGTTTAAAATTATTATTTTCTTAGCAAATAATCGTAGTTTACGTTTACAGCAGTTACACTTGTAAACACAGAGAGAATTGTATTCTAGATACATGATTTAAGAACGTGGGCGTTCGCTCTTTCTCTTATACGAAACATAAATATCGCGAGACAAAAATTCTGGAAAAAGAGAGCGAGCTGCTATCTCGGATAAGCTGCATTCCCATATCGGTCTATCGCTGAATGTCAACTAACGAACACCACTACACGTATCCATTACTAAACAAATCACGAACGCCGCTCGGCCGTGCTTCTGTAAGCTCCGCCGCTGGGCGCTGGATAATTAAAGCTGCGAGGCACATTTGATCGAGTTTCGGTCGTTCTCCGTCCGACAGACCGATTGTTCTCCATTTTAATTTTTTTCGGAAAATTGGAAAAGGAATCCTTCCTCTCTCGTTTTCTCGATGTTTTTTTTTCCTGCACGCGCGCGTGCACACGCACGGATATGAATGCCTCCGTGTGCATGCGCTACTCTACTACTATCAAGCAAAAATTGAAAATTGATTTCGAATGGAATTCCGAGCGATATGTCGAGCATGTATCGAGCGATACCGAAATTTCGCGCCTACAAAATAGTTTCTCGGCTGTATCTTCGCCGAACAAATTCGTCAAAATATTATTCAACGGATGTGGGTCGCGTTCGAACGCAGCGTATCAGATGAAGAAGGAGAGTAAAATGCGCAAAATTGCAGTAGAATTATTATTCCGTTATCTCCGAGTCGAGCAAAATTTATATCTTTCAAGAGGATGGTATTTTTCTCATTATATCCTCGAAAGAATTATGCAAATACGTAATTTTTAATAAGAATGTCTATTTTTAAATCAATAAAAAGACAGATGTTATATTTATTTTACAGATGCTTAATAATTTGTTATTCAATAATTCCAACAAATGAATTTCAATATATTTTATATCAATTATCTTTTCGTTATAATTAATAACGAAATATGGGTGACATATCACACATGAAGCCACGTAGGTATATATATATCTCAGCCTCCATTTAAAATCGGGTCCGCCCCGCGTTTTCATCCTGTCAAACATTCCCACGCCTAATGCCTACTAGCGTCTGAGGAAGCGCACGCGGTGTCACTTTAAAACGGGAGCAACGAGGTTCTTTCAGCCGCTGTCATCGCCACGGCGGGATGTCTCTCGTGGCGTACCGTCGGTGTCCTGTTTGCGGTCCTCGACGGCCTTTCACCGATATTTACTCGCGGGCCTAGGCCGTCCGCCCTCGAAGACATCCCGAAGGGCCGTGACTCGGCGTGTCTCGTTTTTGTTTGCCACGCCGAGATTTCCCGACAAAGGGCCCGGTGCGTCGTCATCTCTCTCTCTCTCTCTCTCTCTTTCTCCGATGCTCCTCCTCGCTTCTCCCGAGACGCCGGGATTAGACTCGAGAGGATCTTCCGAGATGTTTGCGCTAATTTTTTTTTGCTTTTCCCTCTCAGACCTTTGCCTTCGTTAAGTAGGATAACTGGAAGAGGGTGAAACCACGGCGAAAATTAGGGTTAAACTCCAAGTCAAATCTCAAGATGAATCTTTAAACTTGACTTACAACAACCCTCTACACGCGCTACACTAATTTAATGAATTCGCGTAAGCAGAAAAAAATCGCAACCCCTTGTGTTCACTAAATTTAATTATTATAAATCTCGAATTAAATGTTAACTCTTTAAAAACGATTATATAATACAATATAATATGCCGATCTTAATATATGTTGAAATTTAAAAATGGTCAATAATCTTTGCATATTATTCTTGCACCCATGTTTATTTTTTCAACAAAAAAAAAGAAATAACCATATCTTCCACATTCCACGTCAGTAAATAATCATACTCACGTTTTTCAATAAGTAAGTACTCAACCGTACTTCATACGAGATCGCTCTTATAGACTCGCTTTTGAGGTAGCGTGAAAAAACACATAATCCTTCAAAGAACCCTCTCCCGGATCAGATCTTTCGTAAATCTGGAAAGGGTTGGACCAGGTGAAAAGGTCGCTGTTTATTAGCCGCGACGCGAGAGAAAGGGGTTCGAGGATGGATTTTTTCGAGAGACATTTTCTGGGCTCGTGCACAAACTGGATCCAATCTCTCTAGATTACTTCGAGAAGGAGCGAGAGGGAGAAGCTCCTTAAGGGCGGAAGAGACGCACGCCCTGTCGCACGATGTAGGTGAACCATGCACAATGTCGTGGCCACATTACTTTTCGACGACAATCTCTTCCCGCTGTTCCTTCTCGTTCTTTCTATATCTAGCCTCTTTCTTTCTCGCTCTCTCTTTCGACTTTCCTCAGACCTTCATCTCGTTCGCTCTCTCACGAGTACTCGTCCAGTTTCTTCCCTCACCTGGCGCGTAGACGTGTTTACCGCGAGTATTTTCGAGAAGAAGAGGGATAGAGAACGGGTCGAGAGAGAAGGGAAGAACCGGGGAGAAGAGGTAGAGTGGTCTTAACAAAGGTCGGTCTGCCACGCACTGCGCGACAACCAGCCATTGACATCGGTGGGCTCTGGGTAAGGAGGACTAGATTTCACGAGCCAGCGATGCAAGATCCTTCAAAGGACGCCGACGGGTTGGCCGTAAAAAGGATTCGCAAAAAAAGAAGAACGAAGTAGGGAAAAAGAGACAGAGCCACCACGGGGATGGAAGGGCAGGCGCGGGCTTCTTTAGTTAATGCTGGCTTCCGCGCACCCTTGCGTCAGAGAAAGAAAAGACGAGATGACAGAGAGAAAGAGAGGGATCGAGGGAACAAGCGGCCGAGGCTAATAGAGAGGAAGAAGACGAATAAGAGGAACGCGGGCGGAGAGAGCGAAACTACTTGACGGCGAAATCCATCGCGATAACTTAATCCGGGGATTACGCTGCGGTTAAGGTATCCGCGCGGAAATCCGATCGCGCGCGCCTGACAGGATCCTTCAGGGCCGTTGTAAAGGAACGCGACTGCTCCGTTTCCGGTTTCTCGCGGTCGTCTCTTTGCTGGCGCACGATTAACGCGACGATTATTATTCGGATGCAAAAAATTGGTATATACCGGGAAACTTTGAAATTGTATGTCAATTAACACATTGTTATAAAAATTAGACATTATTAGGAAAGCATTATTATAAGTCTACTTTTTCCTCGTCAACACTCTGTGCAAAAATATATCATTCTTGAACGAGTATTTTGTTTTTAAAAAAATTCTAGCTGAACATGAAAGCTCAAAATGCATCTATATATATTTATCTAATCCTATTTATTGTCTGATCGTCGTAAAAGTCATCGCAAAGAATGGCGCATGCATGCACATCGATTGCGATCGACTTGACACTTTGAATCGGCCTGTTTCGGACAAATTCAAAAGTTAGAGCGATTAATTGCAAACCAGAGGAGCAAGCTTAGAAAAGAGTAGCTAGTAAGTAAGTAATTGTTTGGTTGGCGTTACGTACAGTACTTACAAAGCCGTGCTTGTCGCTGATGTTGTTGGTGAGCTTGAGTTTGTGGAAGCTCACGACCTTCTGCATCCACTGCTCGCCGCTGCTGGGAGAGTCCGGATGTATGTACATCCTCTTCGGCATTTCCGGATCCGCCTTACCCGCCACCATCCACCTACTGCTCGCAACACACGCGTAAGAATGTATTAGAAAGTTACTCAGGTGTAGTTCGTCACGTAACATGCTTCGACAACGACAAAGATACGGCGTAGTAAGAATCTTCGTCGTTATCTAATACTAATACATTATTTAAGATCGAAACGCAGATCGTAAGAAAATAAAATCCGACGAAATCAATTGTAATTTATGTCAACGTCAATTTTCTATCATTTTTATGCCTCGAAAAAGAAGAGATTTGTGAGGAATATTGAATTTTGCACTGCACAAAAATAAAACAAAAATTGAATTATCCGTTATAATTCATCAACTAATTTTTATTTCGACATTTTATCTACCTATAGACTTTAATCACAGAGATCGGAAAAACAAATCTTACAATTTCCTCGCGCGGCGAATATTGACCGTATCTTTCAACAGAGACAAAATCGATAACCTAGAACGAGCCAAAAGGAAGAACAAAGCGTTCCCTCGTTAGTTGAAGTAGTTTCGTCCGGCGCGAGCTTCAATCGGATGCGATTGTTGTCTTTTAAAGGAGGCGTGTCCGCCGTTCGTCGTCGCAGGTGGGTCAAACTCGAGCGCGAAGGACCGAAGGAAGAACTCGTTCGACGAGTTATCTTCTCTTCCAAAGTGGCTGCGGTCACCGGCGTGATGTAATCGTTCATTGTGGTCTGCGTTTCGATCGTCCGAACGTATCGTCGTCGCGTCGAGGTATCCGAGATGCCTCGCAAGAATTTTCTCGAGGTGGAGAAACGCCAATCGAGTTCTCCTCTGTCGGAACGCGAGCCGAGATGTCTGTCGCGAAAAAGTTGCGCGCGCGGCCGTCGTAAAGTGCGCGAAAGTACGTGAAAGAAATACACGGTTGTTCACTTTTGCAGCTACGCAAATATTTGCGCCGGCCCAAATTCAAGAGAAACCTTTCGCGACGAAAGTATTGCAAATCAAATAATTTTTCAATTTTTCGAACTGTCACGCAAAAATATTAATGAATAATTAACACGCGCGCGAGTGTATTTTTATATAATTTTATGTATTTTTATATTCTTTTATGTAATGTGCTGTGAATTTTTTGAAAAATACAAGGCATAATTTGCGAGGCATCTCGATTAACTAATTGTGAAGGCTTGCGATCCCCATACAAGTCGAAATAATCTCCCTTCCCCCAGAAATAAAGAAGCCCTTCCCCTCTATGCAGCTTTCTCTCTGCGGGAGAATCAAATCATTATTTCTAAAAATATTGCTTTGTTTATGGTATTCGGTATATAAGTATTATTAATTACACATTTGCAAAGTATTGTATATAACTGATTATTCGCACAAGAATTGCACCGGAATTAGACGTTGAATTTATTATGCACGACGGGGTAATCGCATTAATCGGATTAACACACGTTCGCGATAAAGGGAGCACAGGATTAGAGAAATAAAATTACTTTCGACGAGTATGAGGAATTGTTCGCAGCGCACGCTCCACACTTATCTCAAGAGAGTTTTCTGGTGAAAATAATAATCTTCGATCAGGATCGATCCCGAATCATTATTTCAAAAAACGATATATCTGATTATTTATAAAAAAAAATATTTTATGCTTAATCGAGTATATTTTGAAATACTCGGATCGTGTCTTTAATTCGTAGATCGAAAAAAAAATAATGATCCAGGATCGCTTCGATCGCGCAGGGTCAAAAATATCACCTGTTGTGAAATTTATATCGGCATTCGTCCGATGCCACGATGTCCATTAGAAGTATGTAGCTAGCCTGCTTGTCTAACCCGAACACCCTCACTTTATACGCGGGAAACATGCGTCTGCGAACAATTTTGCGATCGCAAAAAAGACAAACACAGCATACGTTAGTTCCGTCGTTCACTGCCGAGTTTCTTTAATGTTCCCACGGAAAAGGGGAATCGTGCATGAAGCTCGTATTCTTGGATACGGTGCTTTTCACGACGGACAACCGATTTTAAAGATCTCGACAAACGTCAAAATCTCAAACATCAAAAATTATTTCATACAGTTTAATTTTGAAAAAAAAGAAAAAATAGTATAAAAACCAATTTTTACTAATATCAAAAATTAAAAAGGTAACAAATAAAATGTAAATATTAATTGATTTCATGTTGAAAAATATTGCGATTCAAAGAAACGCTCGTTTCTGTCTTGAGATCGTTAACACGAGCTGTCCGTGATAATCATATTTTCACGAGTGCCTCTGATTTTCTCTACACCACGCAAAACCTCTACCTGTTGTGGAACTTGTATCTGTAGTCGTCGGCGGCAACAATGTCCAGCAGAAGGATGTACTTGGCCTTAGCATCCAGACCGGAAACACGGAACTTCATCTGAGGAAACATCTGCCTAGACCCCCGATCAACATGTACAGTTCGATTAGATTATTTGCTCGATTAAGCAAGCTACCTTAAACTATCATGCAACAGATATATAGTCCTCGCGACTTATTTTTGTAATTAAAAAAATATTTATTATACTTGCAGCATAATATATATATATATATATAATGCTGTAAATAATTTGTCATCTTTCTTGCTATCGTCCTAAAAATCGGCAAAAATGACTCTTCGATGTTCTCGCTAATATTAAAAAATTAAAACTACATCTAAATCGCAAAAAATTTGGAAGATTATGATTCGGAGAGTTCTCTCCTAAAATGTGTTCGAGGTACTAATCGTGCGCATTCCGTGGAACGCGCGGCCGCGAAGTCACGTCGACGACACCTGGTAGAATCCTGAAAGGTCGGAATAGAAACGTGCACGAGTCAATCCCGGCCGCTGTCAGACGGCGGACGCGCCGGTGGCTTCCAAGGCGCGTTCTCTGGAATAAAAACCGGACCCCGGGCCAGAAACCGACGACGACGGCTCCGCCGTGCTACGCATCCCGGTAGCGTTTGTCCGAAGGAATTATATCCGAGACGAAGGAGAGAGAGAGGCGCCGCGAGAGAGACCTGGAAAATCGTCGCTCGGAATCGTGTTTTTCGAACGAAACACGAAGATCCAGCACCGTCGTGGTTGTATAGCTCGCTGGTTCTATAATGAAAAGTTACATGCGACCGTGTTTTTTTCGAGAAGAGTCGGGATTCCACAGGACGAAGGATCACGCTGAACTTTTGTACTGTTCTGCACGTGCTGAAATGCGCGCGGAGAAATTCCGAACTTTGGTACCGCAAAATACTTTGGAAATTAAAAAAAAATAATAAGCAGGTTTTATAAAAAAAATACATACATCAAATTAATTATTATATTATGTCGCGTGCATTATGTAAAGTTTTATAAAGTATCATGATTCGACGATTTTGATACACTGAAAATAATTAGCATAATAATAAAGGTGGCAAACGTGATTCATTAATTTATAATTTACGTTTACCATTCGAATGCATATTATATATTATACTATACTATATGTATAATATTCCAGTAGTTTCTTTAAAACGTTCTACCAAGTTTCATCGCGCTCTGAGTTGTAAAGTTCAAGATATTTAAAAATTATATTATTATATTATTATAATCTCAAACTGATGACACATTTCAACGCACGCAAAAATAATTTTTTCACTACATTATAACAAAAAATTCCATTATTGTAATTAAGTTCCATAAACTCATTAAATTTAAATCACGTTAATAGATGAAGACATTATAACGTAGTAGTTGCAAAGGATAAGAAATGTACAAAACAAGATACACATTTGAGTACATCTAGACTCTGTACAATTAATCATATATCAGTAAAAAAAGTATCTATCATCCTTTGTTTCGATTTATAATAAAAATGATATTGCGTCTAATTAAACCGCAGTTTACTTTCAACAAATCATTTACGTTTCAAGTACAAAATAAAACATCTAAATAAGTAAATATTAAAAAATGAAAATGTTAATTACGAGTCTTTGTGTAATAAAATAAATGTGAAAAATAAGGAGATAAAACCATTTTGAAATACATTTATGCATGTTAGATATGAAAATTAAAAAGCTGAATAAAATAATCCAATTATGCATAAAGGACTCATTGTAAGGACCTGCTGGATATCGATCGAAGGCGGCTCTTAAGAAGGACCGGCCGTTCGTCTCGCGAAACGTCAAAGGTATCGCGAAGAAAGGTAGCAACGCGCCGCAAAGATTTCTCTGGTAGCATCTGCCTACTGTCTGTCCGTTAAGAGACACGTCCCCGTATCCCGTGGAATTTCGGCGCGAGCGAGGAAGAGACAGAGATCTTTCGGTCCGGCACGGCTCGATGGCACATTCGCTCGCGATAAACGAGACGCCGCGCCGTTCTCATTCACGTCGTAGAGGACACTAAGCCGGATTATCCGCGCTATGTGAGCCAAAATATCCCGCGGGAGAGGACGTTCTCTCATGAGAGTGACTGTCCGCGCTTCATCGCAGTCTACAGGATGCAAATGTTTCCTTATTTTAATTTTTTTTTATTTTGACAGCTACGTGATCAGTGAATTTCATGATGTTTAAAAAATCATTTTCTTACGTCTTCTGCGCATTATATATATATATATATATATATATATATATAATACTTTCGGATCTATATTTTTCTCTTGCATTTACTTATTTCCATAGGGGGTGAAATTGAAATTAATCTCAAATATGAGATTATTTCATATTTTAATCTTGGCCGTGACCAAGTAAAATATTTGGTGCCTTGTTATCTTAATCCAACGAAAATTTATTTCGTTAGATAACGCACTGTCATCCGCGAGTTTGCTCTTACTGCCTGTCTTATATCTTTAAATTTATATATATAATATATATATATATATATATAGTTTTTATATATTATGTCATTACATGAGAACGCGACGATATAAAATTAATATAAGCAACAAATTCATAGCAGCAAAAAGAAATATTGGAATGTCTTATATAATACACGAAACGGATTCGGCGATACCGCTAATTTAAGAACAATTAAGAAGCAAGAATGTAGACGGACGTGCTGCAAATTTTCCACGCAACGCGAGCGTCACATGACATTTAATTGATTCGCGGGCATTAAATTAATCGAATGACGGGTGCGGTCCGTCCCTATCTGCGTTTTCGATCGATTAAAAAATCAGCCCGAAAAGTGTAAACAGCCGTCTCACCTCTAATGTATATTCATGTGTGCCTTCGGAATTAATTATCGCGGAGACACATAAAGCGAGCCGACGCGACACTCTCTCAGGGGAAATCTGGACATACTCCGAAATCTCCGAAATCATATTCACCAAGTTGACGCCTGCGCGTGTATAGCGCTTATCTCATTTGGAGATCATATATACGGAAGGCCGAAATCTATCCGGTCGTCTCGGGTATATCACAGATATTCGATATTCTCCGCGTCGCGACAAAAAATCCTTTTCCTCATCCGTCCGCACATAACTTTTAGCCGAGACTAGCAGAGCTACTAATGAGCGACAATACGAGTAAACAAATGATGACCGGTCGTTGTACGAAGGCTGTTAAAAGCTATAAATCCGATAAATGTCTTTGATAACTCCCGCCGCAATTTCCTTCTTTCTAGCCGCCACACTTTCCCGATATCGCCGTTCGAAACTATAATTCAGAACGACCCGATAAGACACTTGCCACCCATCAAAAGCAGCTGTTCGTATGCGGAATGACGTACGACTCTATCTTTCCTGATTCAAATTCGAGACAGTGTCGATTTAATTAAAACTGTCATTAGTTCTGTTAGTGTGAGTTATTTTTAAGTCAACATATTTAAATAGCAGCACGCTTTCTTACACTTAATATTTTAACATTTTTAACACTTGATACTTTATAGAGCTCTCTATGTAATACATATAAAATATATATATATATATATATATAAATTATATTAATATATATTTAATTTACTTTTATAAATTTTATTTAAAACAGCGTATGTTCATACAATGTTTTTTAATATCAAGTGTCATCAAATAATTAAAAGAAAGAAAAAACTTGAAAATTTGTCAATACTGTTTCGAAAGTTCAACTGAAGGCAGTTTTCTTTATATAAAAAAAAAACATGTGCGACATTCTTCTGTAGGAATTATCGTCATCGAGTCGATCGATTTTAATGGCCATCTTTCTTCTCCTTATATGCACACAGATTACGTAAAAGGGTTTTCGAGGTCTTACGACATGATGTTGGGGCGTTACGACATGGGCCGAGTCATTAGAAATATTTATCGGTATCGGATACGACCTTATTACGGTTTATGTTACTAGAGAGAACAAGAAATTAGGTGCTAGCTCGAGCCGCGGCGTTGCTTTTTTTCGACGACGCGTTAATAATATACTAAAAATGAGTAAAAAATGAGTAAATGAGTAAAAATAGATATATATACTGCTGACAATTCCTTTGCGTGATTTTTATATATGTCGAGTGAATCCGCGATGCTAATAAAATCGTCCGCCTTCTCGATATGTTGATGAAATTTATAAAATAATATAAAATCAATTTATCCGGCCGCTGTTTCTTGTCGCGATAACAAGTAAAAATACAAACAGTTCCACGATATCGCGGTCCACGATGAAAAAACATAAAAATAAAAAGAATAAAAGGAATCGAGAGATAACCATCGTGCAAATGAGCGGCATGTGAGCAGCGGTGGTACATTCGCTCGCGAGGCACGCCACACACATTTTCTCATTTACATATGCACGCGTCGTTACGCTTGCTCCGCGATTATTGCCATTAAATATGTAGCGTGTGCGCTACGACGACACAATTACACCTGGAAAACCGAGAACCGTATAGCATAGTGGTAACCGTGGCGATATCACGTTATGATTGATTCGGGAGGTATCGCGCGACGACGAGGCGGAATGGAATACAAGATAAAAGCGCGGTAAAACGGCCAACTTTGCCAAGCACCTGCTTCGTCCGACAGTCGATCATCCGGCTTTCTCGTTCCGTAATTCCTCGTCGCGCTACAATGTTCAAAGGGCTTTACACATAGCGGTCTGTCTCTCTCTCTCTCTCTCTCTCTCTCTTCTCTCTCTTTTTCTCGAGCATACTATACGTCGATTTATTCCCGTATGGCATATGGTGTACTCCCATTTTCGAGACTTTCGATCGATGCGCAGCACGAACCTATATCGCGGATGCCATCGTTAATAAGTTGCGAGATGCCAATCTTTTTAATCGATATAATTTATACTCTCTCTCTCTCTCTCTTTCTCTACTCCGCTCTTTCTCAGCCGACGATGATAATCACAATGATCGCAATTATCATCGATTGGATGAGTCTATCTCCCTTGGTAAAGCATATATAATCCTGTCGGATTAACTAATACTTTAACCTTCCGTGTCTCATAATTTAATTACAATTAACATGTATATAGATGTGTT